AGCCACCCACCTGAGACCATGTCTCCAGACCTAACACAAACACACACACTTCCTATACATATTCCTCAAAATGCATGCACACTCAAGAACATTCTGTCCACATTTCTCATCTGTGACCTTATACACCTTATACACACACACACACACACACACACACACACACACACACGTTCACTGATATTCACTCAGCTCTGTCCTGCCACACATGTGCACACAGATGCATGTCCATACCTTCGCTGCAATCTAACCAAGAGCATCTCTTGCATAATTGCACACACACACCCTTGCAGGGCACACTGACATTTTTAGGCTTTCCACACAGACGACACACTTGCACATCTATCTCTTCATGGTTTACTTGCACCAGTATTTGCGTGCCTTTTCAGCTCACACTGTGCCCAGTGTCAGTTCTTATACAACTCCATCTGCTTCCCATGGAAATCATATAGTCTCTCCTCAAAAATGTTTGCTGATACATGTACCTCCAGATCTCACACTGGCACACATCTGTTCACAGGGGCCCTTGTCTCACGTTCTCACTGCTACAGCAGGAACCAAACAGGGCTGGTATGGACACTTCTGTGTCCGTGGAGCACTCCGCCAAACTGCTCCCCAACTTCTGATCTATCCCAAGACCCCCACAAGCCCAGCTGGAAACATCTAGAAACCTTCCCTTATATCTATAGCCTGCTGATCTACCCTAGGGAACCTTTTCTTTTCTACTTCCCACCCTTCTCTCAACATCAGAGGCACAACACGATGGGTAACTTGCCAAAGGATCACCATTTTTTTTTTGTGCCACTGCCACAGTGGCATCCCCCAGCTTGCTGGTTGTTCCTCCCCTCCTCCCAACACCACAATCTCTTTCATGTTAACCCTTTCAGTACTGAAGCCCTTGTTCCTGGTAGGGAACTGGGAAAGGAGGAGAGGATGTGCCACTCTGTACAGTGTCTAAAGTCAGGATCTCCAGGCGAGAGATGGTGAACTCTATTACTGCAAGGTATGTAAGTTCAACTACAGAAAGGATTCCAGCTTGGACCCAGCCAAGTGGGAAAATCCCTTTAAAACCCCAAGTTTCTAAGAATCTTTGTGTACCCAGGTCATGTGTACTTACATACACAGTTGTGTATGTATACCATCAATCTATTTCTCTTTCAACACACACACACACACACACACAACACACACACAGGCCAGATGGGCACATAAATGTGTGGATGCCTGACTCTGGACACCCTGTGCACACCTGGTGTCCCCAGACCATGCAGCATGCTTCCCTCTGCATGCACAGCACAGCTCTAGCCACATAGGCACACGCCCCCTGCCCGCAGAGGCTGATCCCCTGCCCTCCAAGTCTCCCTGAGGTGTGACTCACTTTCCTAGTTCCTCAAAGAGCTGGTACTCTTCTGTGAATCATGTGCATGTGATGGTGGCCATCCTGGCACTGGGCAGGCAGGCGAGGCTTTAGGCTGGGAACTAGGACTGGGATGCTGCTGTTCTGCTCCCAGAACTAGGGGCCACTCGCCTGCCCGTGCTCCTGAGTGCAAATGGAGAAGCGGCTTGACTGACGAGCTTGGGGCTTCTGAGCAGGGCACTGTGGCTGCTCACAGCCTCGCGAGCCTTCGTCAGCATCCAGGTCCCCATGGCAACCACCTCCGAAACGCCCTGTTCCCGTTGCCCCGGTAACTGCCTCCCCAACACCTGCCTGCCTTCCACTTCAAAACCTGCTCCTGTGTTGCCCTGGCCCCATATATACAATACTGCAGAACTGTGTGGGCCCCGGAGCAAGTGTACCCTGTTTTCCCAGGGTGATGTGCTTAGGGGGATGGAGAAGGGGAAGAGAACAAACTTAGTCCACAAGTGATCTTCTCTCTTCCTACCTCCCCCACCTCCAACTATAGGGCCCTTTTAACAGACGGGATGGGATTAAGTGGGGCAAAGAGGCAGTTGCTATGGTAACGACTAGTGGGTGCAACATTCTGGGATGGTCCTTGAGAAAGACAGGATGTAGTTACCCTGGCAACTTCATCTCCTCTAGAGAGACAGGTATTGCCCCGTTGCCCTGGCAACAGCTGGGTTCTAAGGTTTACAGGGGAATGATGGCTAATTCATCTCTCTCCTTCCCTTCCCCCTTGTAGTCTCTGCAGTTTCTCTGCTCCCTCTGGGAATTGGTCTAGTTGACTTGGCCTCTGCCTCTGTCCTTATTTTGCTCCCGCTCTCCCTGCTTTTTAGCCACTGTGTGTATCACACTGTCACTCTAGCCTGGGGGAGAAGTGCAGAGCCAAACCCAGGACTCTGTGGGAATGGCTCTGGCTGCTCTCTCACCCCTACCTGTCATCATTGTGCAGCTGAGCCCCTCCTGAGGCCTCTTCACCAAGCTCTCCCCACCCCT